GGACCTCTCACTGTTGTGGCCTCTCCCGTTGCGGAGCACAGGCTCCGGACGCGCAGGCTCAGCGGCCATGGCTCATGGGCCCAGCTGCTCCGCGGCATGTGGGATCTTCCCAGACCAGGGCACGAACCCGTGTCCCCTGCATCGGCAGGCGGACTCTCAACCATTGCTCCACCAGGGAAGCCCCTAGACACTTTCTTCTTAATTGTCCTCCCGTGAATATTTTTAAAAATGGAGGTGAGAGTCACATAACAGAAAATCATTTCAAAGTAGACAGTTCAGTGGCATTTAGTACAGCCACAATACTGTGCATCCACCACTGTTACCTAGTTGCAGAACATTTCCATCACCCCAGAATAAAACCCTGTACCCACTGAGCAGCCACTTCTCATCCCTGCCCCCTCTCCTACCCCCATCCCTTTGCTCCATCACTGACCCCTGGCAACCATCGATCTGCATTCTATTTGTATGGATGTGCTCAGTATGGATATTTCATTTCGGTGAAATCCTATAAAACATGACCTTTGTATCTGGCTCCTTTCACTTAGTGTGGTGTTTTCAAGGTCACCCACATTGCAGCATGCATCAGAACTTCATTCCTTTATACCAGGGCTTGTCTGTGTGTCGATGGACACTTGGGTTGTTTCCATCTTTGCATTACTGTGCATAGTGCTGCTTCGAGGATTTGCTTGCGTATAGGTTTTCAGTTCTTTGGGGTCTGTACTTAAGAGTGGACCCTCATGAACTTTAAACGTATTGTATGTCCTTTTACGTACGGCATGTGTGCTTTATTTATAAAAAGAGTAAGATTTTTTTCACCCGCTAAGATCTACTTTCTGCCCCTTGAGGGTGATAGCCCTGGAGATTGGGATGGAGGTGAGTGCGAAGATTTGGGTGTATTTTGGAAGTGGTGTGCAGAGGACTCGCTGAGCAGAGGAGGAATTGAGACAGTGTAGACGTGTTTGGCCTTGAACAATTGGGTGAGTGGTTGTGGGGAGGTCAGGACAGACACAGGTGTTTCACAAATTGGGGAGGTGGGGCAGGTGGCAGCCAGGGATGGGCACTGGCCATCACTTTCTCAGAGGCGAGTTCTGCAGTGTGGGTTGCTAGGTGACCCCGAGGTGCGGTCCTGGTCCTGATTACGTGAAGCGCTGTAGTACCAGACGCCTGTGAGGGTGGCCCCTGCCCTTTGCTGGCCGGGTGGAAAGTGGACCAGACCCGTCTCCACGGGAAACCGGTGTTCACGTGTAACACTGTTATTCTTGCCATATCCAAGTGCTGTATTTCAAATTTTTAAAAAATTTAGAACGTGTCTCTTGAACCTTCAATACTTAAGTTTTGTTAACAAAGGAAGCGTTATATGTCTATGAAATTGAAGGCTTGTTGTTCCAGTTACTGTTTTTTAACTACACGAACATATATATATATATATATATATATAAGAAAACTAATGACTCTCCCTGTGCTCTTGGTAAATTCCTTATATGTCTATGAAATTAAAGGCTTGTTGTTCCAGTTATTATTATTTTTTAACTACATGAACATACATATACAGAACTATAAAACTAATGACTCTCCCTGTGTTCTTGGTAAATTCCCTGCAGGCCCACAGCGGGGGTTAGGGCTCTGCTAGACCACCTGCCAGCCTCTCCTTCTTACTATGTAACTTGAACTGTTAAACAGGAAAACGTGGACTCCCTTGCTTGAGTTCTCTGTGTGACCCCGCACCTTTGTGTGGTTTTGGTTCCCACTACCCTTTAGGGTTAGTCTTCCTTGTCAAAGTTCCCTGCAGCCCCAAGCAGTGCTTCTGCTAGTATGCTAAGACCCTCCCTGCAAGACCCACTTGCTAGTTTGCTTAAGGGAATACAATTAGAAAGACTCTGGTCTTTAATCCTTGTGGAGGGAATACACTGCACTGATCTTTTCAGCCACAGCAGGTCTCTTCTGGAAACAGAACATAAATGAATGAATAATAATTAAAAATCCTAATACTAAAGATTTTATTGGTGATACTTAAATCTTTTGAAACACCTTTATTTTTCTATTTATCTTTCTATTTATTTATTTATTTATCTTTCTATTTATTTGTTGGCTGCGTTGGGTTTTTGTTGTTGTGCACGGGCTCTCTGTAGTTGCGGCGAGCGGGGGCTGCTGTTCGTTGCAGTGTGCAGGCTTCTCGTGTTGTAAAGCATGGGCTCTAGGCGCACAGGCTTCAGTGGTTGTGGCACGCGGGCTTCAGTAGTTGTGGCTCACGGGCTCTAGAGCGCAGGCTCAGTGGTTGTGGCACATGGGCTTAGTTTGCCCCACGGCATGTGGGATCTTCCCGGACCAGGGCTGGAACCTGTGTCCCCTGCATTGGCAGGTGGATTCTTAACCACTGCGCCACTGGGGAAGTCTCATGAGTTAGGTACTTTTATCAATCCTTTTGTATTATATTATTAGTATCCCTCTTTGTAGCTATCAGGAAAGGAGATTCAGAGACATCAGGTCACTTGCCCAAGGTCACACAGCACGTCCACAGAGCTGGGATTTGAACCTCTCCTTTGGCTCCTGATCCATGCTTTAATCCACTTCTCCCTACATCTAGAGTCTTTCCCACTCTGTTGCATTAAAAATGGTGTTGGCAGGTCCTGGCGCTGGAGCTGAGGCTAGCTCGTGTATGTTGACTAGCTGAGCTGGTGTAGAGTTTAACCCATTGAATCCTCACTCTGAGGATCCCCATTTGGCAGATGAGAAAACCAAGGCAAGAACCCACCAGCGTGTCTAAGCACTTGTGAAGTCCCTGGGATGTCGCGAATCTAACCCCATCACCACCAACAGTTTTCTTGGGGTTTCTTGCACATCTGAGGGGAGCTGGCCATTTGGTTGCCTGTCACACGTTTATGGTAACAGGACAGCCCAATAATACAGAGCCCTTTCAGCAAAGGGGCAGGATCTAAAAGATCTTTGGGAGGCCCCAGTTGGCCCATCTGAACACTTTGTTTTGTTAAATGGTTTGGTTTCTGTTCTCTCTTCCCCCACCCAGTGGACAGGGCTCAGGGGAGCAGGAAGTTGGGAGTTTTAAGGTAGTTTTAAGACTCAGGCATAGGTACGACTCTATCCTCCTATGAAAGTTTGAAACCCAGTAAGGAGGGAGGTAATTTACCAACAGCGCCCTCACTCCATCTGTTGTGGAGTTTGGCTTCGTTCAGCATTGCAGGACCTTCGAAATGAGAAGCCTGCGAGCTCCCAAGGGGTGGAGCTGGCCCCTGGCAGGTGCAGTGGCTGGGTGAACCGGCCCCTGCGTCTCCCACAAATGGACAACATGCCATTTGTAAGCTTGGCTCTGGTCTCTGCATCTGGACCGAGGCGGGGGCTGGTTTAGTCGCTGTTTGTTTAGAGATTTACACCCGTGAATGGGCCAAACCAATTTCAGTGGCAGCTTAGCCGATTTGTCTTAGAGCTTTTGTGTTTAATAGAATGACTGGGGCAGCCTTCTTCCTTCGTGGCTTTAACATTGGGTTAAAGCCCTTCGCTTGAAATATATAGCCAGCCCTTCCTGCTCCAGCCCCCTCTGTGGCGCCCTGGCGGCCCGGTTGAAAAATCAAACAGAATTTCTGTGCTTTCCTCCCTGCCCCACACCTACAAGCTTTATATGTTTCTTTATTTTTAAATCTGTCTTTTAACGAGTAACTTACTTTTTCAGCTTCACCAGCCTCCACCAAGACGGGACAAGCGGGGAGTTTATCCGGCAGCCCGAAACCTTTCTCTCCTCAAGTATCAACACCAATCACGACGAAAACGGACAAGACGTCCACCACGGGAAGCATCCTGAATCTTAACCTGGGTCAGTTGGAATTTTGGGAAGCCTCTTTCCGTAGCAGCTCTGAGTATTTCTGCAAGTTGTAATGTCCTCTTTTGTGTGTGGTTCTTTTTTTAAAAAATGATTGGTGTTTTTATTTTTATTTTTTTTTGGCCGCACGGCATGGGGGATCCTAGTTCCCTGACCGGGGATCGAACCTGTGTCCTCTGTGTTGGAAGTGTGGAGTCTTAACCACTGAACCTCCGGGGAAGTCCCTGTGTGTGATTCTTGAACCCCGAACTCTTTTCTGTGTACAAAATTTTGAAAAGGTACAGTGGGTGGAGATGAAGAGAGATCAATACAGGGAACTAGCAAGGGATTTCCCGGAGCTTGTTGACATACAAGGCTGTTTTATCTTGAAATACCTTAGGCCAGTGTTTACAACCTTACTTGCCCTGGACCACAGTAACCCAGTTCTTATATTTGTAAGTATATATATATTATATGTGTGTATATATGTATATATATATATATATATACACACACACACACACACACACACACACAAACACACACGGTATATATTGTTTTATGATTCAGTACTTACTTTTCTTATGTATAGTGTGTTCTGACATTGTTTTAATTCTTCTGTGTTTTTTTTTTTTTAATCCTAGTCTTCATCCTTGATGTAGTAGTTTTTTTTTTAAACTCATTGAGTTTCAGTTGGTTCTTTTGAAAGCCTTACCTTAGGCCAAAGTCGTTAACAAAAATTAGCACCAGAAATGCTAAACACCCAACTAGGAAGCTATTTTATTAAGTCATTCAGTCATGAGCCCTGATTTTTATTGAGCATCTATTATGTGCTGTGCACTGTTTTAGACCTGGTGTGGACAGTGGTGAGGGCCCTGCTCTCTTACACAGCTTGGTTCTAGAGAGGGAGAAATAATAATCAAGCTAAAAAAACTAAGAGAGGTCATGTCATGATGGAAGGTAAAAGGTATTCATATGATAAGGAGAGAGCTGGGCAGGATGGGGGTGGGAGGAGCAAGAGGCAGTGGTTAGGGAAGGCCTCTGAGGAGGTGATACCTGGCCAAGGATTTGCATGACAAGAAAACCCAGCCATGTCACTGTTAAGAGGAAGAACATTCTAGAAGGGACAGGAAATTCAAGGCCTTAGGGTCAGGATGAACTTGGTGTGTTATAGGAATGGCAAGGAAGCCCGGGTGACGTGTCCTAGTGGGTGAAGGGGAGATGAGGTCAGAGAACACAGTGACCTCATGGACCTTGGTGTTGGGACCATTTGAGCAGAGGAGGGATGTGAACTGACTGGGCATTTTGGAAGGACCTCTCGGTGTTGCATTGGGAAGAGCCTGTGTCAGCCATTCTTAACCAGGGGCAGTTCCCCCGACCCCCCAGAGGACACTTAGCTGTGTCCAGAGACATTTTCGGTTGTTAGAATGGGGGTGGGGTGGGGTGGGCTCTCGCCACTAGCATCTAGTACAGGCCCCCCCCCCCGCAGAGATTTACTGGGTTGCGCCTGTGTTGACAGATTTGGTTATGGCAGGAGAAATGGGAGCCAAGAGTTCAGTTTTCGATTCTGTAAGTTTGAGATGCCTGCTAAATTCCTAGGTGGAGAGGTCACGGAGGCAGTTGGAGGCGTGAGTCAGGCCAGGTCAGGGCAGGAGGTGTAATTCTGGGAATCTTGATTTATACGTGGGATTGGGTTCAAGCAGTAGTTCTCATAACTCAGGGGAGGCGGAGAGTGGGGGACTCTGCTGGCATTCATTTAGTGGTTGCAGACCAAGGCTGCTGCTAAACTTTCTACAACGCATGGGACAGAGCCCACCATGACAGAGAATTATCCAGCTGCAGTGGCAATAGTGCTGAGGCTGAGAGACCCTGGTCCAGAGCATAAAGAAGGAGTGAGGGGCCTGGGCCACTTGCATATGCACATGTAGACCTCAGGAAAAGTGAGCAGAGGAGCAGGGGAACAAGGAGAAAAGCAACACTCAGGGAGTGTGGCCTACTCCGGGGGCCTTGAGTATACCGGGTTTCAGGAAGGGAGGGGCGGCCACCCGTGTGGAGTGATGCTCCAGCCTGAATCCACAGCCTCTGGTGGTCACTGCCCTCTGGGTTCATCTTGTCCTGAGATGCCATTTTCAGATGGAGAAACAGAAGACTGGAGAGGTGACCCCAGGATCTGGGATTACAGAGCCAGAGGTGGCCGGGCTGGAGGGAGCCTGTGTTTCCATGGAGGCTTGTGCCTCATTTACCCAGGTCACCAGGTCATGCAGCCCGGAAGTGATGGGACAGTCTGGGTGATGGCTTGAGGGGCTCCAGCTCAGGTTGGCTGGTGGGAATTCTTCACTTGAACAAACGGGGACCCATCCGTTCCCCTGGGGAACACTCATTGTTCTCAGCAGTGTGGTTTGCTTTCTCACACCCTCCTCCTACCTCTGCACCCCCGAAAAGAAAGCTGTACAGAGACATTCTCACAGTCATGCTTCCTCCCTGCCAGTCATGCGTGGCAGGAATAGCTCCTTCCGTAAACCGGGCTGTCCTTGGGCATCTGTGTGATGCTCTGGGTTTTTCCATTTGGCTTGACTCACGCGTGGGAGTGAAAGGTTTTTATCGTGGGGTGTGTATTGGCGGTGGGCACGGCAGAGTACGAGGCTCTCCTGTGCAGAATCTCCCTACCAGCTCTTTCCATTCCTGGGACCAAGGCCTCGTTTTGTCAGTGGAAACAAATGCATAGGGAATGTGGCGTTTTATGGGTAGGAATTTCAGTTACCCAGTGGCAAGAGGATCAGATAGGGACTGGTGAAAAGTGCCATGGATGGGTAGAAAAATCAGAAAGTGGAGGGAAATGCTGAATAATTCTCATGGGACTTGACTTGATGTCTGGCATCCATGTAACTACTTTGAACAGACAGAAATGAGACAGAGTGCTAGGGATAATAATGACATCATTATATCTAACAAAACAGTGTTTCATTAAAAAAAAATAACTGGAAAAGGCAAAATTACTGAGATGGAAAAAAGATCAGTGCTTGCTGGGAGTTGGGGAGGGTTTGACTACACATCACAAAGGGATTCTTTGGTAGATGGAATTGTTCTACATTCTGTTTGTGCTGGTGGCTACTCGCATCTATGCAGGTGTTAAAAGTCATATATTCTCCAAAAGGTGAATTCTACTCTAAGTTAAAACTATTAAAAAAATATAATGACCTTCAAGGTAAAGTAATAACCCCATTGCACAGAGAAGCAAAGTTACCTACCCAGGATCAACATGTGGTTTGTGGTTGAGTTTGGCCTTTAGACTCGGGCTTGTCTGTGTGTATCTCGAACTTTTAACTGAGATTCGAGAACTGAAATGCTGCAGGACAAGGGCGTGTTTTGATTTCATGGGCCCTCGCCACTGTGCCTCTTTGTGCCGCTGGGTTAGTCTGCCCAGCTGTAGGGGTCAGCGGTCAGGTGAAGGTTTGGATGGACAGTCGCATGAAGGACAAAGTGCCTTTCTAAAGGAAGCAGCTCCCACAAGTTGAACCTGTGCTGTCCAACTCTGAATTTTCAAGAAAAAACAGAAATCCACATTTTTTACGTGAACTCTTCTAGTTTTTAAAAGTTGACCGTCAGTTTCATTAAAAACCTCTATTTGGGGGCTTCCCTGGTGGCGCAGTTGTTGGGGGTCTGCCTGCCGATGTAGGGGACACGGGTTCGTGCCCCGGTCTGGGAGGATCCCACATGCCGCGGAGCGGCTGGGCCCGTGGGACATGGCCGCTGAGCCTGCGCGTCCGGAGCCTGTGCTCCGCAACGGGAGAGACCACAACAGTGAGAGGCCTGTGTACCGCAAAAACAAAAAAACAAAAAAACAAAAAAAACAACCTCTATTTGGAATTACCTGGCGGTCCAGTGGTTAGGATTCTGCGCTTTCACTGCTGAGGGTGCGGGTTTGATCCCTGATAGGGGAACTAAGATCCCGCAAGGTGCGGGATCAAAAATAAAAAGTAAAAATAAAAACCTCTATTTAGGCCAAAGAAACAAGTACCACCAAAAATACAACCACCAGCCCGTGGGTACTTTACTCTTACGATTTATTTTGCTGCATGACGGAGGGGAAGGCCCTGCACGCCAACACACTGGGCCTCATTTGCTGTCTTGGGCCCCTTCTCTTTGCTCTAAAATAAGGAGCCAGGCTAGGTTCCGGCCCCCTTCTGTGCCTCTACGGCAGTTATAAAATAAGTCCCAAATAAGAATGAGTTTATGGCACGGGAGGAGAGGGGACCGGAGTGGGTCTTTCCTTCCTCTGGACTCCTGTGTGCTTTCTCTGGGAATCCTCTCTCGTCTTCTCTCGCACATGGTGTTTGCTTTTGGCTCAACAAACGCAGCAGTTGAGTCATCCTGTTAGTGACAAACACGTGCCTCGGTGCTCCGTCAGAGATGCCGAGGGTGGGACATTGTCAGACCTGACTGAAGGCTTTCTGCTTGTTTATTCTTCCACTGTTGCTGTTGTCAGGCCTGCTTTCTTTTCTCTGCAGAAAGTGAGACTTTGAGGACGTGGATGCAGGGCTGGGTACCCCGGTTGCCCAGATGTTGTCTTGATATTTTTTAAAAAAATAGTGAATGAGGTGGGGACGGTCTCTGCTTGACTGATGGATAAGAGCATCTGCCAGGGTCTCTCGTCTGAAGGACGTTGTTCCCTTGATGGAACCGCTGTTTTGTGCCTCCTAGAAGACCATTCCTTATAGTCTGCCTACACCTTTTGAATAAAGGAGATTTTTTTTTTTTTAAACTAAAAAAAAAGAAGCGCTTATAGTTTTCTTCTAAAACATTTTGTTTTGATGGCTGTTCCTCTCACCGTGTAGTGGCTTGTCTTCCGTCAGGGCACCGTGGGGATGGCTCGGCTGTCCGTTAGTGCCTTCTGATTTTTGTGGAGTCACACAATTGAAGAAAAGAAAGTTTTGTTTTTATAAGTAATGAATGCACACGGTAAGAGAAATTTGAAAGTACAGAAATGTCTAATGAAAAGCCAGTCTACCTGTAACCTCTGATCACCTGTCTCTGTGACCCCCTTCTTTACCCCCAAAAAAGGGTGACCACTATTGGCTGTTTTTTTTGTTTTGTCATCCTCTGACCCTGTTGGCTTTTTTAGTCTCCTTGGGGAGCTCTTCTAGACATCAGCCTGGGTGATTTAGTCCCCATTTGGCAGTGTCTAGACACCTATTTATTATCCCAACTGGGATATGGGTGCTACTGGCATCTAGTGGGTGGAGGCCAGGGTTGCTCTCAAACATCCTACAGTTCCCAGGACAGCTCCCGGCCCTTACCCTGACCTCCCCACCCCCCAAAAGAAAGACTTATCCAGCCCCAAATGTCAGCGTTGAGAAGCCCCAAGAACACATATATTTGTATGTCTGTATTCCCTTTCCTTCTTTTCTCCCACACACCAATGCTAACGTCCTTTACTGATTATTTTCCTTTTCCTTAAACGGATGGGCTTTCCATGTCACCACATAGAGAGCTCTGCCGCTGTGTTATTTTAGCAGCTGTATTTTTTTTCCGTTTAAAGGTAAACTGTAACTTATTCAGGCACCTTATTTATTGAGTAGTTTTCCATTTTTTGCTGTTGGAAATAGCTGCAGTGAAGACCCTTGTGCCCACGTGGGAATGAATCCACAGGATACATTCCTAGAAGTGGAACCTGACGGTCAGAGGCCATGTGCTGTTGACATTTGGAGAGAGACTGCTAGATTGCCCTCTAAAGGGTGGTTCTGATTCATGCTCCCTCCAGCAGTGGAAGATCGTGCCTCTTTTCTCTAATGCGGGTATTTTTTTTTTTTTTTTATCCCCGGTTTCCATTTATAGCCTCAGCTGTCTTCATATCAGCTGAAAAGTTCAAAATGTTGGCAGCAAGGGTGGATTCTGCAGATATTCCCGATATAGAAGGGCAGAGGTGGAAGGAGTCCTGATAAGCTGCAGGAGCTTCTTTTCTCCCTGTGGAGGAGGGTCGAGTTCACACGCAGCTGAAAGTTTGAGAAGATAATTACATTTGGCTAAACTCCTAAAAGTCCGCTCCCAGGGACCTGATTATAGCCCCCTCCCAGGCTTTCGGTGGTTTCTTCTTAGAATAAACAGTTACAGTGGCTCATTGACCCGAGAAACCTTATTTTGTGAAATGAAATGCTTTACCTTCTTTTCATTCCTCTTGATTATGAATATTCAGGCTTTGGGCTAAAGTTAAGAGATTGCATTTACTGTAGACCCACACCAGTATACACGCGTGTGCACACACACACACTCGATTATTCTGGTGATGTGTAGATCTATTTTTATGATCCCCGAGGTTTAGGTACACACGGGTTAAGGCAAATCATGAGACATTTCCTTTACTCACAGACAAGATTGGTCCAGTACAGGGGCTCACAGCCTTACCTGCCAATTAGAATACCTGGGGAACTTTTAAAGGGCCAATGCTCAGGCCTCCCCCTCGCCAGTGAATTCAGTCTCTGGGGGTGGGGCTGAGGCATCAGGATTTTTTTTTTTAAAGCTCTGGGCTGGGAGGGGAGCAATCTCAGTGTGCAGCTAAGGTTAGCAGTCACTGGACTAGTACAGGGGCTGGCAAAATTCCCAGCCTGTGGACCAAGTCTGGCCCCTGACTTGTTTTTGTAAATAAAGTTTTATTGGAACACAGCCACATCCATTTATTTAGCACATCATTTTATGGTTGCTTTTGCAGCAGAACCTATACACCTGCAAAGCCTAATTTAATTTATTCTCCGGCCCTTTATGGAAAAAGTTGGCTGACCCCTGCCTGGTAGTCAGTTGTGCGTTTCGGTAACTGCTGTGTGGAATCTGTTAACCACATGGGAATGTTATTGAGGACAGGGTGTCCTCCTGTCACGTGGGCAGCACTGCCATCTCCTGCTACCCCCCTTCATGGGAAGTATTTTTGTGAGATATTTCTTTTCCAACTTTATGCGTGAAAAGGCTGCCTTTTCCCTCCAGAATGCAGTGTGCTTCCTCATTTCTGAGAGCAGAAATGACAAGACGGGCCTCCTGTCTTCCCCCTTCTACTGTCATGTTTGCAGCTCAGGTATTGAAGTCCGTAAGTCCTGATCATACTGCTGTTTAATTGGATCTTCCCTTTTTTCTTTCTATGTTCCTCAGTCATTCTCTTCTTCCTCCTTTTTTTGCTGTTTTATCCCTGTTTCACTCTCTCTGTTCTCTTTGTAAGGTGCTTCTCCAGTAAAATTGAATATTCTTCCCCCGTCCGAAATAGTTGTGCATTCAACCGTCCCCACCGCAAGCATCTTCAATCCTGGCCTTGATAGGTTCTCTGAAGAGTCTCCGATCAGCACATGCACACACACCAGACAAACACATGCATGCACATGCGCACACATGGGTATGTTTTTTAAGAGCCATTTCTTTAATGACAAGTATGGTGTCCCTGTTTGCTTTGAAAGCTGACTTTTGGTCTCCCTGGTGACGAACCGCAAGTGTGTTTTGGGGACAGGGCCCTTTCTCATCTTACCTCATTATGGTGATGAATGAAATGGGAGCGATTTGTGGCTCCAATCACTTATGAGTGAGTTGGGTGGGGCTTTGGGGAGACCTCTGATCCCCTTAGAGGAATGAATCTCCGGCATGCGTTGTGAGAGCATGCCTCCCTTCCTGGGTGTAGGGCAGGGTGCGAGGCTCAGGTCGAGTGGGGAGAGTGCAGGCTTTGGAGGGCCTTTGCAGTCCAGCTCTCAGTCTGCATCTCGGTCTCTGTAACAGCCTGATGGTTTGGGGTGGAGGGTAGCAGGGGGGTGGAGAGAAGTCAGGGAGTGAGCTCACAGCTGGAAGAACTAGCTCACAGGTGGCTTATCTTTGTCCTTGATGGATGCCACATCCTTTCGGACCTGCTTTCTCGGATTGGCCAGGGTAGGCTGGACACCCGCATTCTCTGCTTGAGGGTCTGTTGGAGGGGATGCCAGGGCGAAAGACAGTCTCTCATTGCTTTCTGAGCCTTTGCAGTCACCACCATTTTGTCCCCTTTTTATGTTTTGGGGGCCACTAGAGGAGGCAGCAGAGGAGGTGGGGAAGGAATTCAAGAAGTGCAAGCTCACGGACCCTTTGGAACCTGGGCCAGTTTGGTCGTGCAAAGAACCCATGGCAGAAGTAGGGGGAGTAGGACCTCTGGGCCTGAGTCATTAGGCAGAGACCTTTGCCTGGGGTTAGAGTGAAGCAAGAAGACACAGGTTCATATCCAAGGCTAATCTGTTCCCCATTCCTCAGATAGATGCTGTGAGCCAAAGGGAGGTACAGCACACTGGCTGGAGGGTCTGTGTTCTCTTTCTTTCTAATTTGAGCTCCAGACTAAGTCGACTAAGAATGAAGATTGAAGTCTCCATGGTAAACAAGGAGCTGGTTCTCTTTCTTATCAATGTGTTCTCTGCGAGGCTCGGCGCCTCTCTCGGATACAAGCCCTCTCTGATCCGGGCCTGGAATTCAAAGCAAACTGGCCAGACTCAGTGTCACTTTATCTGCTGCTGTTGAGATTGAACATATTACTGTAACCTTTGGCTTTGGAGGATCTATAATGATGCTGAGTGTCACAGACAACCAACCTTCTGGCTGGGATTGTGCATTTTCAACATGGAAAGCAACCCAGGCGACGGTTCAGTAGAAACCTGCCAAATGTTCTCTCAGGCTCTTATCTCCAAGTGAGCCCAGGCCGTGGAGCAGATGATATCGTTGGGATGAATGACAAAAACGTCTTAGGTTTTTTTTCCTCCCGGGCTCCTAAGTGTGTTTTTGAGGAGGAAGCTAAGTGATGAGCATTGTCCGCTATTCCCTCCAGTGCCTGGTCTTACGAGGGTGTGATGGTGTCTTCCAGATCGAAGCAAGGCCGAGATGGATCTGAAGGAGCTGAGTGAGTCGGTCCAGCAGCAGTCGGCCCCTGTGCCTCTCATCTCTCCCAAGCGGCAGATTCGCAGCAGATTCCAGCTAAATCTTGATAAGACGATAGAGAGTTGCAAAGCACAATTAGGTATGTCTCTCGGTTTGCTTACCTCATCATCATCATCATTACTCTTTTTAGGGATACCACCCGGATGAAATTAAAGCCCCATCCTGGCTGCCTTTTTAGCAGCTGGTTTAACCTTGAGTTGTTTGTTCAACAAAAATAGATTTCTACTCATGGCAGAATATTTCAGATTTGCTAGTTAATTGTTCAGAAGGGCTTTTTGAATTCCTCAGAGTGTATTCTTTGTGGCAGCCTGCCAACTCGAGGTGCAGGTTGTAAGAAAGTTTGGAAGCAGAAGGAGCCTCCTGAGCTTGCCTTTGTGCTTCCTCTCTGCTCACGTCAGTGTCTCCACTTCAGGGTCAAGTGTATCCCACAAGTGTCCAACACAAACCCTCCCCCTCCAGGCTAGGCCGCTTCCCCCTCAGCACATCCATCCTGCTTCTGTATCTGTCGCCTCCCTTCCTCTTCCCTGTGCTGCTGCTTTCTTACACTGCCTGCCAGAATCCTGTCCCAAAGGCTGAGCTCGGGCATCACCTCCTCCAGGAAGTCTCCCCTGACTGCCCTCCCCATCTGCCCTCCTTTGCTACTTTATGTCTCCGAAACATCAGTGGCTCCTTTGTGTGGTGGTATCCCTCCCAAACTAGACTGGAAGCTCCTTGAGGGCAGGGAGTTTGCCTTATAAAGATTTGCCTTCTCCAAGGTGTACTTGGTCTTGTACACATAGTAATGCTCTGGAATATTTGTTGAATAGGTAAATAAAGCCAGGAAGGTATTTATAAAGAAGTAGGGGCTGGCTGGGTCTCAGGAGAGAAAGCCAGTCCAAGGTGAGGTTTACATGTCAATGGTTTCTCTGGACCTTTGGGTGAGAAAAGAGTTATAGTTGGGAGTCATCCAGGCTGTCAGAGGAAAGCATTCCTTGCTGGGTTGCCTGTTTGGATGAAATTTTGTAGGCCATTTAGACACCCCTCTTGGGTCCTTCCATGCAGCTGGTCTAACTCCTTGGTTTATTATTGTTAATAAGAATTTTAATATTTCCATTTACCGAGGGCTTCCTATGCCACATGCATTGTGCATAGATTGTCCTGGGAGTTCGATACTATTATCAACACCATTTTCAGGTGAAGAAACTGAGGCTCAGAGAGGTAGTTCATTCGTTCAGGGTCACACAGCTAATAAAAGCAGAGGAGCAGGATTTGAATTCATATCCTTTGGGCTCCAGTACCCAAGCTTTTCCTATCACATGTGTGGTCATGCTTGTCCTGGCATCCGACCATTCGTTAACAGTCGCATAAGCCCTAGGATCTAGAAATTAAACCAGATCTGGGTTTTTGTGTTTTGATTCTTTCAGTTTTGATTGAGCCCTGGAAGAAGTGGGTATAATTCACTCATGATCCTGCTGGGCTGTTCATGGCTCTTACCTTTTAAGAGTTTCCCTTCCATGTGTCTGGGTCAGGATAGTGACCCCACTCACGATAACCATTGCTCTAGAATGAGGGAAACACAGAGTTGATGGGGATTTCCTCTTTTCAAAATTTTAGGGTATAATATTATTTACCTACAGACAGATGACACCCATTACCGAGAGCAGGAAACATGAATGGGTTAAATGGAACTATTGTTAGGAATATACTTTTGCCCATTTTTGTCTGTATATGTATGAAACTCTTGCTGTTCTACCTTTTTCCCTTTTGATAGAGACATGGAAATGGATGACTTTCCTCCTGACTCCATTGCATGTAGAAAAACAATGCAAACACAATGACAGTTGACTCTGCCTCAGTTCAGGGAGCAAGATGGGGACCGGGCAGCTGGGTCACCTGTAGGCAGTGCTCCCGCACCTGAAGGGGCCAGTGGCTCTCAGCCCCAGCGAGCCTTGCAGGCCTGTGACCCAGAGAGGCCAGATCTTCTCCTGTTTCAGCACAAACCCGCCATCTTGATTTCTGTGAAATTTCCTGATTTGTGAATTGGCCAGCAAGTTCTAAGTTTAAAAAAAAAAAAAAAGCCAACAAATAACAAAATACCAAAAGCATTGGGTCAAACCATTGCTTCCTAAATAACACATTTGCTCGCCAGATGTGGCTCATGGGCTATGAGTTTGCAACCTCCGCTTTAAGGCTTTGGTTTATTTCTTTGAGTCCTGGACACAAAGGGTAAAGGACTTTAACGCTTTGGGAATTTGTGGGAAGAGTGTTGGTGGCGAGTCAGGAGCCCAGGGTTCTGGCCTCGCTTCTCTGTCTTGGTTTTCTTTGTGTCCTAGAACAAGTGATTTCTCTGGGTCTCTATTTTCTAATCCGTAAAATGAAACTGTTTTAACAGCGCAGGACTGGCATTCCTTCCCTTCCATCCCTCCCATTGTCAGTGTCCCAGTGAGTTATCCATAATGCAAAGATTGAGCTCTGGATAAATTCGAAATTCATGTTGTTTGGTTCCATGTCATCTTTGAATGTCAATAACTAAAACCCTTTGCAGACAAGTTCCATTTGTCCGCTGTCGTCAGCTGCAGCTTGAGTGCACTGCTAACCCCACCAGGCCAGTGTGATGCGATTTGAAATGTTTTTTTTTTTTTATTCCAGCGCTGGGCGTGGAAAATGGTTGTGATTTTTTGGTCCTGCTCTTTATTTTGTGAGTACGCCACATGCTGGGTTTTCTTTTTAAATTTAGGCATAAATGAAATCTCAGAAGATGTTTATACGGCTGTAGAACACAGCGATTCGGAGGATTCCGAGAAGTCAGATAGTAGCGGTAGTGACTCTCTCAGTGATGAGGAGCAGAGGTCCAAGAATGAGCCGGAAGATGCCGAAGACAAAGAGGATGCTCGGATGGACAAAGAGCCATCTGCTGTCAAAAAAAAGCCCAAACTGGCAAACCCCATGGAGACAAAAGAGGAGCTGAAAATCAGCACGTCACCAGCCAGCGAGAAAGCAGACCCAGGCTTGGCCAAGGAGAAGACTAGCCCTCAGCCCGACAAGGACTTTTCAGACAAAGCAAAACCCTTGCCTCATCCCACAAAGGATAAGCTGAAGGGGAAAGATGAGACGGATTCCCCAACAGTGCATTTGGGCCTGGACTCCGATTCAGAGAGCGAACTTGTCATAGATTTAGGAGAAGACCATCCTGGGCGGGAGGGTCGAAAAAATAAGAAGGAACCCAAAGAACCGTCTCCCAAGCAGGAGGGTAAGTGATTGTACCCGTTTCTGGTTTCTTGATTTGGTTTTAGAACGCCACCTTGCAATTTGTGTTATCTCAAGTCAGGTGACCCTCTCACATCACAAAGGGTGGCGTAGCAAAGCTTGGATTGGCCCCAGGTCACCTAGCTAGTTACTGAGCTGGACCAGGACTTAAACTAAGCCTGCCCACCTTTCACCTGTTCAATACCCAATGTGGCTGATTTTGAGCACAGGAGAATAAGTCTCTTAGAAAGTAGTTGCTTCTAGCTGTTAAGTCATTTTTAGCCTCAGCAGCTGCTTTCCCAGTAGGCTCACTCATTTCCCTAAAGTGTTTGTCAACATTTAGACATTTGACAAGGCTGAGATTGTTAGAAGTGTTCAGTTGGAAGATCTTGATAAGTTACTTAGCCTCCCTTACCTCCCCTCACGTTGCCCAGGCATCTCAAAGTGCTTTTTCTTACCAGAATACAAGACCATTTGGGTAGGTGGCACCAGAACGCTGAGTTCTTGAGCCACTAGAAATCAAAGGGGCATTGTATGATGCCCGCCTGAGTTGGTGTTCCACCATATTTGCGGTTAACTGACATGGGCCCAGGGTTTCTCAACCTTGGCACTGTTGACATTTTGTGCTGGATAATTCTTTGTCCTGTGCACTGGAGGATGTTTGGCAGCATCCCTGGCCTCTTCTTACTGGATGCTGGTAGCACTTGCCCAGTGGTGGCCATCAAAAATGTCTTGACATGGCTGGATGTCCCCTCGGGGGCAAAAATCTCCCCCAGTTGAGAACCCCACTGCCTGAGCTCAGCAGTTCTCTGCCGCGGAACCAGTAGTGGCTGCCCTCAAACCTGCTGCAGCCTGGGCATGTTGGCAAACC